ACATATGACACTCAACCCCATAGGGCTAGGATATCATTACGAAGATACATAGTGTGTACACAGAGAGAAACTCAAAACGAAGCAGAGGAGATGTCTCTGGAGACATCTGTTGTGATTGCGCAAAATGGATCTGCTACATTCTTTCTACTGCCTCCAGCTTCAGTGCGGTTCCGACAAAGCGTAGGAGTAATGTCTGCTCTGGACAAGATCTACGATCTTGCTACAGCTAAGTCACGGTATACCGTCGCTTCATTCTAAAATCGCCGGATCTATTATATTTTACTACCACAACACTTCTCTCTTCTATTCTGCTCAATCGTTCACTTTGAGATTGTCGGTCACAAAGCTCTAAGGCATGGATCTAAGGAAGACGCGCGGAGGCCGACCACTGGAAGTACGGAAGAAAACCTTGCGTCCATCAATCATATGTTATGCGTAAGCATACAAATATAGCAAATTGAAAGATATTTATTCTAGTATTGTAGTCGCTGATTGCAGACGCAGCTGGTGAGGGCATACGCGAGATCAGCAATAATGGAGATAGAGGGAGCGGTCATATGGGCAGTACACGAAAATGAAGAGGATCGGTTTCGGAATTCTCCTTCAACGATTTTGTCCCTAGACCCGGCGGCTCTCCTTCTATCGTGGGCCCTTCATTACCGTAAGCCAGCTCCAACTTTCGCTTCCTTTGCCGATTTGAAGCTCCCAGTCACTCGCAGTATCCACTCGTAAACGCCATTACACTGGTCGAAAGGTCGAATAGCATAGCCATTCTCTTTTACATTCTTCTAAAAAGAATGAGGATTCGGCAATGCAGCTTGCCCTCTCTATCTCTCTCTGCGCTCCGTCGTAGTTTTCTCTCCTTCCTCACTCTCGTGTTACTTCGTTGAACTGCTGACATAACGATCGATTTCCTAACATGTACTCCAAGTAAAACACTAGTCAAGAACTGTACTACTCCCATTCATTAATTGGTATACAATGATGGTGTAAGGGAACTCAAATTCACTATAGTGAACATAATGTATATTTCCATTCATCTAGCAGATACTAGCGCTTGAAATGGGGTGCAAGTGCGACTCAATTACTTGCATCCGTCAAATCCGTCAAATCTCTCGGATTCCTCAGATTCATTAGCTTCATCAGATTCACTAGTATTAGGAGGGCACGATTTTGGCCAATGTTCTCTTTCTCTACAGTCATTACACACTCTGTAGCAATCCTTTGCCCAATGCCCTATTCCTTTATATTAACAGCACGCGTCAGGACAATCCTCTGACCGATGTCCCAACTACCAACAATTGTTACACTTGTCGTTTGACCGACCAGGACATTCCGCATTTCCAGTGTCCCACTTTCCAACAGCCGTAGCAGACATCGGGACGATTCTTAGAGTGATGTTCAGATTTTTTACAACTATCGTCAATGTCCAGACGGACTTGCTCGTCGAGCTTGACCTCCGTAGGCTCAGAGAACCGCTTTTTAGCACTTGCACTGATCCGCGATACAACAGATCCAGGCATAGCCGACTTGGCCATCTCCTCGAACACATCACTCAATCTCTCAAAGTCCTCCTCGGTAGATTTGCCGAACTTGTTTCATGTCGAAGTGGATGCGTGAGAGCGAGTATCTGCTCGTCGATCCCGACACGTCCAAGCAGCCTGAGCTCCGACCGACTACGAATGTCTTTGGACATAGCCAGTCTCGTGTACCAAAAAGCAGCCTACCGAGACCTAGCATCCGCGTTTCCCTACGGTCCTTCCTATATGACTCGACTTCAGCTCATAGGAACACGCGACCTGGGCTTTTCCGCCAATCTACGTGTCTTTCCATTACGTGTCTGCCTAATTTGCTCGATTGTGGCCAGGCTCGATAGGCAGAGGAAGGGAGGACGACGAGATGCGCAGACCACCGACAAGTACACGACAGTTTGAGGAAGCTGCACGTTCTGTGTGCGGCTCTGGGCTGCAGTGAGGCTTGACTGCTTGAACATGCGGCTAGCTGAGGTGAGGCACAGCAGCAACTGCTGTCCATGGCACACCGCACTGTCCATTCTTAACGTCGAAGATATATCGTTTTGAGAATTAACTGCTAGGGCATGTACAACCTATGTGAGCATGCTTCTTACAATCAGCGGCCTTGCCTCCATTCTCCACGGAACTATGCCTCGAAGTATCGACAACCACGGTGCCGCATATCCACATCTTGATGACCTTTCCCAATGCAATCAACCCGTTGCATGTCTAGGTTGTTTAAGAGATACAGAAGAGCCACGCCTGCATCTACTCTGGATACACAACCAAAAACCTACAAAGCCTCTGCTACGGTGATGTACATCCTACAGAGTGTGTCCAAAAGCAAGGCTTACACCAAGCTCGAGACAGCCAGAGCACCTTCTCTACCGGACTGGATGAGAGCAAAGATGGAAAAGAGACGAGAAGTGAGAAATACTGCGTCGTGTAAGATAGGCATCGTTGGCATGGATGGATCGAATGAAAGTTGGTGGCTTAGGCAGCAGTTGTACTACTAGTCACAGTCTTTTCGGTCTCGGTCGATTGTATGCCTGAGGGCTGTGGTGTGCGTGGCTTTGTCCGTCAGCAGGGCATTGAGGGGTATGTACTCGTTCCGTGCAACGACGGGACGCGTCTATGCTGCTTGAATCTACTACACCATGACGGCTACTTTTTTGGTACACAACCGTGAGGCTATGGACGTTGAATATACTCAGTAATGTCTGTGTAGTCAAGATGGAAAAGTTATTTCATTACCATTCACGTGCAAGCGCAAGCGTGTACCGTCCCCGATGATCAATGTACCAGCGTCCTCGTAGTAGGCTCGCGCCCGATTAGTAAGGGGGCAGTGCAAAGGGCGAACTCGAGACGTGACCACACCTCGCAACCTCACTCCATTCCTCCTCTTTTCCTCCAGGAATCAAGCTACGAAGAACCACAAGTGCGACTGCGCATCGCGCCTGCGCCCAACGCGACCGCGCAGAGCGTTAGTGCGGGAGCTCACGAGACGAAAGGCGGGGGGACAAGCATCTTGACATCCGAAGGGCAAACAGAACTGCGATTTCACTAACGGGGTTAATCCCCGCCTCTGTTCTTGCTAATATACATGGTATAGAGGAAAAAATAATGGGAAGGGCTCAGGCCCCATGCATGCTCTTGGTTAAGAGAGAGGAAAGAAAAAGGCACGGCTCTGCATCTAGCGGGCATTATCTTCGAACCAGCGACAAAAAGGAATTCCAATCTGATTTGAATTACCACCACCCACTTCACTTCATCGTTTCATCATGAGATGCCGTAACAGGTCGTAAGGAGGAGGGGCCACCGGACACGCCCAGCAAAGCGTGTGAAAGCTTGCCAGCAGCTTATCTGGCCCCAAGGGGGCGCGCGCGCAGGATGCGTCACAGACCGCCTCCTGCATCGAGGGAGGAGAGGGGAAGGACTGTCCTCAGGCCTTCCGGAAGATTTTGGTCGCTGTCTCGGTGACGGAGAAGTCATTGAAGAGCCACGAGTTGGAATGGCGCCCGCGCCACATGTCGCTCTTGTCTGTGCTGCGTCTGGACGGCGTCGGCATGCCGGGCCGCGTCGCTTTCGCCGGCGACGATGCAATGGAGCCTTGGCTGGCAGAAGAGACGTGTCGGGACTGCTTGGGTCGCTGCGGGGTATATGTTGGGCTGGCGGCGTGTGCAGTGCGTGCTGGTGGGAATTGCTCCGGCGGCAGCACCAGCGGGGACTTGGACCGCTTACGGGACGACCCCGCGCGAGACCGGCTGCGCGAGCGACCGCGCATGCGCGACGTGATGGCGCCGAAGAAGGACTCTTCGGCGGGAGAGGTGGGCGAGCGCAGGCCCCGCGAATACGTCGAGGTGGGCGACAGCATGTCTGGCGATGCGGTGCCGGACGAATGAGACTTTTGCGAGCTGCTGGTGCCGGTGCGAATGGGCGGCGGGGGCTGGAACCGCTCGGTATCGTAATGCGAGGGCATCGTTGGCGGCTTGTTGCGGGGGGGATATCAGCTTCAGTGTTGTCCAGCTGTTGAGAGATAATTGGGGCCCGCTCGGAGTTGAAATAGACAGGAGAGAGAGAGAGAGACGGGGCGTTCAGGACAGATTTGCGGCTCGCAGCAACATGTGCCGCCTCCTCACCTTATGTATCAAAGATTCCTCCGCATGAGGACACACAAAACGACACAGTCCCAGGCTTGGCGGCATATCCCACCCGCGAAGCGTGTCGGTGAGTACGAGCACGCCGCGGCCAATCACGCGCCCAGCAGCGCCATCCGCCCGCCCAAAGGGTGCGCAGGACTGGCGTTCGCGAGCCCAGTACACCGACTCACCCCGCTTGCGAGCGCCCCGCCTAAGTGGGCCCATAGGCCCTGCAACGACAGCGCATCCCGCCGAGCAAAGAAAAGAGTGTAGCCCAGAACCCGACCGACCCCGAACGTCACATACAAGGCTGAACGGACCCAACGACGCCCAATCGGGGCCGCCCGAGCGAGGCTGCTGCCTTGGAACCCAGGTTTGTGTGCGACGGGTGCGAGGCATCGCGTGCCCGCTCCGTCATCTGGATAGGCTGGCCATATGCCTCTATGCGTCACGGTCCTCTGCTCGAAACAGGTCCGTGCCGCCGATGGAATACATACAACTCTTCGTTTCGAAACAAAACATGCGTACGTGCGGGGTTGCATCGCCTGATGATGTTCCATTCCAGTAGGCTAGCAAATAATGAGTCCCTGGGGACAGACACACTTGCTTCCCAACGCATGTCCTCAACGTCGGGTTCTCGGTCCCGCCGAAGCGTTCCAGCATAGTCGATCACCTGCAGATCCGTGTCTAGCATGCCTTCTTTTGTGTTTGCGTGATGTTGTGCCCGCATGTTGGTGTCAGTCAGTCAGATAGCCATCAAACTTTTTGCCACTGCAACACTATCTCTATCTATGGACAGCCACACACACACACAGCAACCCCGCAATAGATAGCAAAAAAACATTTGTGCATCCAACGGGAGTCGAACCCGTGCCAATTGCTATGCCTAGCTGAGCTAGATGGAAGGCAATTATCCTACCGCTGGACCATGGATGCGTCCGTAATTAAGCAATTGATGTTGGATGCGATTTTGCAAAATTGGCAAATACAGAATCATCTACTCATTTTTATCGAGTCGAGCCATCCATGCTTAGCAAAAACATCACGGGGTCAGCTTAGATCACTACTATCCGCTAAGCTAGCCCTGCGGCCTAGTTCCAGCCTGGCGTCGGCATGCTCGCTCTGATTGGCTGGCTTAGCCGCACCCATTCGACTTAGCATCGTCGCTGGCAGCATCACTCGTCACGCTTCTTGTCACTTATATTCAAAGGAACGAAGCGCTATCAATTGTTTCTGATTTAATGCATATGTAGAAACATGATATCCACCCAATGGGCATGAAGGGTATCCTCAGGGGCTCAGCCAGCGGCAGGTAGCTTGCTTTCTGTCCAGCATAGGTGGGCGTAGGAGTCGGAGAAGAGATGGAAGGTACCTATCTGAAGGTGGAAAGCAGGCATTTCTATCTCGGGAGATACCTAGTATCACAATCTTCTTCAAGTCACATTCAACAACCATTCAGCTGCCTCTTCCATAAGTGCAGGCACGCTTGCATAGCGGCACGAGCGGAAAGAGTAGACCGCAACAAGCAAATAACGACACTCCTTCATTCATCCCTGTATACTTCTTTTCGCTCCAGCTAAACCTAACTTCCAGCAGCACACTACTCCCCGTCTTCGCCCGGAACTAAGAAGACCACCCGTTGTCCCCCCACACCGGCCCTCCAGGAGGCGTGTACGGATTCGTCGCCGAAATCTTGCGGTACTCCAAGAAGATCTGGGCGCGACTTAGCTACAACAAGCAAGTACAAACAGTAACGGGCTACTCACGCTCTTCGTGTCGTCGGGCTGGTACGCGCCCGGCAGCGCAATGCCCGTCGGCAGCGCCGTGCTCCCGCCCCCCGTGACGCTGATCTGGTGGCATCCTGGGTAGAACTGGGCGAGTGAGCCGTTGGTGTTGGTGCGCTGGAGGCCGAGGATTTCGTGTCTGGATAGTGAAAGCGCGTTAGTAAAACTTCGGCCAATTTTTTTTTCCTTGTGTGTGTGCTTGGTACGCACCGTAGCAGATACTCGCCCGCTGGGATCTTGGACGGCAGCTTCACCGTCCAGGTGCTGTTCTGCGTGGGCAGTCGCTTCGAAGCCCACGGCACCGTCTGCGACGCGTCGTACCCGGCCTGGTCGATCTTGACCCAGACGTTGCCCGTGGAGCCCGAGAAGGCGGAGCAGGGGCCTTTGCAGCTGGCGAGGTAGGTCATGACTGTGGAAGCGGCGTGTCAGTAGGATTCGCAGCATGGTGAGATGGGGAGGGTGTACTTGGCCCTGGGTGGTCGCTCTGCCAGTCCGTCCACATGAATTTGACGGTGCTGCCTGCGGCGACGCTGGCCGTAGCACTGACGGGCACGTTGTTGGCGCCCGAGGACGCAATGTTGCAAGTGATGGCGTCGGTCTGCCGGAGAGTAAGTGGCTTGTTCGTGATGGAAGAGGGCGACCAAATGCTTACGGTGAAAAGACCGTCGGTTACTGGGCCGTTATCCTTGAACTTGCGGGTGATCTTGTTGACCGGTGGGTTCTTCTGCGGGTCCTTGTATGGGTTCCAAGTGTCGACGAGTTTGTCGCCTAGCCAGATTTGCTGGACGAAACCGTGCGCATTGGCAAAGGCTAGAAGGCCGGTGATGGAGGCTAGGGAGAGCTTCATGTTTGCGAAGGGATTAGTTGGAAGAGGGGGAGAGTCATGTTTTCCCCATGTGTAGCGTTTTATAATTTACTTCAACATGATGTTGGCAGGGCTCGTGTAGTCTACTGGGCCATTCGCGGGAATATCAAAGTCCTTTCGAGAGTAGTTTTTGGTGCGAAGACAGTACGTCGGGGGAGGCTCAAATATCCCGCCAGTCATGGAGGAGAGGGGATGCCCACGTATGTTCTCTTTTAGGTGTCTCTTTTGGGGAAGAGTGTGTAAGAGCAATTTAAACGACAACAGACGAAGCGGGAGAGCTGCATCAACAGGATGTAAATATCTCATCTTACCTAGCGAAAAGTACACATGTTCATCATTTTCGGATAAGCTGATTGGCCTCCTTGAGTGGGAGTGAGTAGTTGACAGTTAACAAAATTTCCTTTCGGGTTTGCCGACTCGAAAGATGAGCGTCAGTGTTATTAAAAAGGATTTTGCATGCGATGTAATGGTGCCAGTTCGGATGGTGAATCAGGACCCTTATGCCGGCATTAGATGCGATTGGTGGAACTTCAGTCGCCTTACTATGAACGAAACAGTAGAGTGGACTAACGATTCTCGTAATACACGCAGGGCTACAGCCCAAATAGATTTGGTAGAATGCTAGACGTATCACTGCTTGCTGTCTGGACACTGGCTTGATGAAATGCATCACCGTGTGCGGGTGGTGTCGAGCCCGGCAGTCTCATTCAGCCCGTCGATAAACAAGGTAGCTTTTGGCACACTTCTTGCTGTGTGTAGAGGCAGCAAAGTCGTTCTCGTCTGTTTCTAAAATCGCCGAATCTCACCTTAAGCAAGTATATGTCGAAGGTGTGTCTCGGGCCAAAACTTCTCATGGGCCGGTGAGGGTTCCGCTGGTCATTCGGCTGAAGCTGAGGGTAGCTGCGTACGATGCTCTTATCTAAATGCTGTAGTCAACCCCTATTTAAATTGATAGTAGAACGATTTGTACAGGTAGAAACACTGTAGTTCGTAAAGGTATGCAAGAATGAAATTCGTTACAGAGCGTGCAATATGCACACTCGCAGACCTCTGCATGAGGGTTCTGTGGATGCTACGTGAATGCCAAATAATCATAATCCTGCAGGACTCACAAGCTTTTCAAAAAATCTAGAATCTCTCTGACGACCTTTTCAGGCTGTTCTTGCTGCGGCCAATGGCCTGCTCCCTCAACTATCTTGACACCTTTGAACTGCGAGCACGTCTTGGGGAAGCTTTCGAAGGCTCCGGGTTCTTGATAATTACCCCAATCTTGGGCTCCAGAGATGAATGTTGCGGGACACTCAATCTTCTTGCCTGCAAATAGATCTACGTCGCGTAATTTCTCCGCGTCTGTCATGGTTCGGTACCAGTTCAAGCCCCCTTGGAATCCCGTGCGTGTCCATTCCTGGACGTAGACTTCGAGGTCGTCATCGGACAACCATGTCTTGGTTTTGCTCTCATCTTCGTTTTTCATCATTAGCTCGATGGTTTCGGGCATGGATTTGTGTAAAGGCATGACGTAGTAGAAGGGCAGCTTGGCCAGTTCGTCTGCGTTCCACGCTTGGAGGGGATGAGGTTTGTTGTGCTCCCAGTCGGCACTCTTGACGTGCCAGTAACCGCGCAGGAAAGCCTTGAGGCCTTGAGCGGGAGCATACCAGTGCAATGCAGCAACCGCCGTCGAATTGTAATACTTGTAGTGCTTGCGTGGTTCGGGCAATTTTGCCAGTTCGTTCTGGATGTCAACCGGTGGTGTTGACTTTGCTTTTCCGCCATGGAGAAGGTCGAATGGCAGGCCCGTTGGCTGCTTGAACGGGTGAGACATCATGACAACGCTCCTGAATAGGTCCGGACGCATCCATGCACACATGGACGAGGTGACAGCACCGAAATCATGACCGACGATGCATTCCACTTGGTGGTAACCCAGAGCATGGACAAGTATGACAACATCGCGAACCAGGTTGGTGACGGTGAACTCGGACATGTTCGTTTTGGCAAAGGCAGAGTCGTCCCACCCGGTGGTGCGGCCGTATCCTCGCTGGTCGAAGGCCACGACGTAGTAGCCAGCGTCGGCCAGGGCAGGCATCACCTTCCTCCACGAGAAGGCCAGTTCCGGATAGCCATGGACGAGGAGGATCAGAGGCTTGTCCCGTTGAGGGGCATAGCCTGCCTCGAGGACATGGAAGGTGAGACCGTTGGAGGGGCAGTGGACATAGTTCTCTGAAACACCGGCGGGGAGAGGCAGCGGCGCGAGATGGTGCTGTGCGTGCTGTGCTGCCGTGTGCGGCATGCTGATGATGCTGGCTTTGCAAGCGCGAGGGCAGGCACGAGGCAGGCAAGGGTCGCTCTTGGCTAGTTGGTACACACTGTTCTGGACGGCGGGCCAGGCGTTGAGGAAGACGACAACTGTAGAAAGCGGGGCGCCGTAGATATCCGCTTCGCAGAGAGCCCGCTGCAGTGGATCAGGCCTTCAGCGTCCGCAGAGCCATTGGCCGGCGTGAGGGTCGGGATGCCACCCAAGATGCGACGTCGATGCCGAAGCGCGGGCACGCGAGCGCGCTGCGGCTGGCGGCTACGAGCTGCGGCACTGCGTGTGCGTGCGCCTACTGCAAGGCTGTACGCAAAGAGCTGCTGCTGACTGTGCACGCAAGCACGGCACTGTGATTGGCCTCTCGACGTGCCCTGTATCGCATATTGCAGCCAATCTGTGTTTCCGCAGCGCACGGGACAGACATAATACAAAGGGTAAGACGCTGGGGGCGTTTCGAAGCGTTTTGGCACAGGCGTTCGTGTTTCCGTTGTGCAGACGTGGCTCGACTCCAGGCTTGCTGCTTGTCACGACGACGACGGCCACGGGCAGTGCCCACGCACGCACATCGCCCCTCCCTGCCCAAGGACCCCGTTTCACCCCAGATTGTGATACATGTATGTACACACTGCACAGTCGTCTGCAGTGGAGACGATCGAGTGCATCGCGCTCAGCCCGGGTCGAGATCTGCAATGACGATGGCGGCGCCAAGTCTCCGACTCTGTTGGCCGCCGTGGATCCTGGCGAGCTAATCCTCACTGCTTTTGCTGACTGCGCCCGCCCGTCGCGTCTGTGTCTATTTGTTCTTCTCCTCTCCGTCTTCCTCCTGAGCGGTGCGCTAGCCTTGTCGTCGTTGTCGTGTCGCGCGCCGGCCCATCGCCTTGTCCCTTGTTTCGCTCGCCCTCACTAGCTCCTGCCGGCGTTTCCCATGGCTCCTTACATGACATCACAGGCGTAGCTTCCCTTTTTCGCAAATCCA